TTCCCTGGGGACCTCGCCACTCCATTCCTTGCTGTTCTGTTGCACCCCCTTAGTGTTTTGCCTCAGTGTGGCCGGATCAGATCGGGCGCAATTCCCACAGTCTCCGGTGTTGTCCCCTGTAGGACTATGGGTCAGTGAGGAGCGTCATGTCTCAAAGTGAAGCCAACTGTGTGGTCCTCTCTGGACTGGCTGCTCTAATCGGGAACAATGTCCTGAAGGCCTGGTGGGCCAGGATGTGCTCAACTCTGTCCTCCCCCTTCATCTGCTCCCGTGTGCTCCAATCAGATATGTCCCTCTCCTGGAGCTGCAGATTCTTTGCTGTACTTTGAAATAAAGTCTTCTGGGGGGAGGGGCAGGTGTCCACTTAGTAGTTGGGATTGGGGCCGTCCCGGCAGTGAGTTTTTGGAGACCTTTTGTATTATTACTATTTGGGCTGGTGTTTATGTTGTTATCTCATTATATTGGGAGTTTGTCAAGAATAATTGATATTGAAATAGGATTGCAGATATTGCAGATAAAAATCTGGACTACAGGTTACATAACATCTAAATTTGGCATTCGAACCTTAAAGATTTAATATTTGCAAAAGTTATAGTGAAAGTTATCTAATAACAATAGGGTGTTTTGTCTAATTATCTATAGATGGGCTTTGGGTCTTCACTCTGCACTCTTCCCACCCCCCACCCCCCCATCCCCCAATTCACATCTGTATGATTTTGTTCTGGGTCTTAGATGCCTGATACCTGATCCCATTGACACCTCATGATCATATAATATAGGCTGGTGAGCTTCTTCCATGTGAGCTTTGTTTCTTTTCAGCTAGATGGTCGCTTGTTTATTTTCAAGCCTTTAAAACCCCAGCCACTATATCTTTTGATAGCCAGGCACTATATCTTTTGATGAGCTTTCTTCGACACATTTGCAGAAGAGATGAGCCAGTCAGGATGCAGTATAGCACTGATGAAATACAACTTTCCTCTATTTCTTTAATGTTTCCTCCCACCACCACCCACTATCATGACCTCAATGCTACCTTACAAATCTGATTAGACCAGAATATGTGCGCTGTTACAGATAAGAGCCTGCAACACAGGGAATCCAAGACAGATAAACCCCTTAGGACCAATGGTGAGAGTGGAGATACCAGGAGGGGAAGGGGAACGATGGGGAAGAAAGGGGGAATCAATCACAAGGATCAACATATGGCCCCCTCTCGGGTGGATGAACAACAAAGAGGTCGCTGAAGGGAGAAACTGGACAATGTAAGATATGAAAATAATTTATCATGAGGGAGGGAGGGGAAAAATGAGCTGATACCAAGGGCTCAATTGGAAAGAAAATGCTTTGAAATTGATGGCAACTATGTACAAATGTGCTTGACACAATGGATGAACGGATTGTGGTAAGAGCCCCCAATAAAAGTATTTAATAAAACAAAAAAACAATAGGGTATTGTCAACACATTCTGCAGAATGGGATATCATTACAAATTATTTCTAGTTTACTAAGGAGCAAATTGGAACCCATAAGGATCAACCATGATCCTTAAAATACCACAGCGTGTTAAAAAAGGCTTAACACTTTGACAATTGTCTCCAATTCTGTTTTTGTAGTCCTTCACTATTAATTCTTTGCCTATCTCTCTAGACATAACTTCACAGCGTTCATATTTGGCTTGTGCTGCTTTTTAACGTTTTTCACCCTTTAACCTTATTAGCATTCTATTCTCTTCTGTTCTTTGAATGTTTTCTTGGCTTTCATGTGTATTACCTTCTCGTGTGCCAAACTTTTACTTCACTGTTACCTAGAAATCACTACCAAATATAACATTAAAAATTGGACTAATTCTTCTGAGCATAGCAAGTTTCTCCCTATATTCTTTTTTAGCAAATGACGCAGTTCATATCAGCCTGCCCAAGCCAAAACTCAGGGTGACTCGTAAGAGTTGCTTCAGAAAATTCATGGAAAAATTATTCTTTTTTAATTGTTATCTTTTCATTTCATTTTTCCACATACTTTTGAAGACCCATATATATATGATCCATCCAACCTATAAGCAATTCATGTTGACTTTTTTCTAAATAGGTTTCCTTTATTTCCCTTGTTCTCTATGCTTACTAACACTAGCTGGTTCTTGAACTTCCTCGAAAAAGTCCTGATGCCTTTCAATCTTTGCTCAATGTTTAAAATACAAAATGATTTTGCTCTGAAAATCATTATTTTAGGGTGAAATCTTCGTGTCCTCATATGACCCATATGGACATTTGTGTGTATTTCTTAACTGCCTACTCTTCAGCCCACCACACACCTTTTCTATGTACCAAGTAACATCGTTCTTCTCACCTCTGTCCTTTCCCTTAACCTCTAGTTGGTCTCCTAAGAAAATCTCTACTCTTCGAGTCCTCCATGTTTGTTCTGGTCTTCTCTTGCTACTGTAATAAATACCTCAAGTAGATGGTTTATACACAGAACAATTTCCTCACAATGTAGTAAACTAAATTTCTGAGTTCGGGGCATTAGCTCTAGGAGTAATATCCTCTGTCAACTGGGGAAGAATCTCTTTCAGGGTCTGTAGACACGGCATTCTTTCATGCTTTGTAGATCTCTGTGTGGCATATATCATCTGTCCTTGATCCTGTGTGCATAATCATAATCTTTTATACCTCAAGAGTTAAAGATAGAAACCAACTTAAACTGATTAATAGCCTTACTAACATAAAGGAAACTATTTCCAAATGGGATCACAACTACTATTTGTTGGGGTTGGGATGAAACATTTTGGGGAAACAAAGCTACATACACCAATTATCCACACAACTGTCATCAGGTCAGTTCTGACTCCTAGTGACTAGGACAGAGGACTTCCCCATGGGTTTCTTGGATTTTAAATCTTGAGAGCCACAGACAGCCTCATCTGGTGTGTTGTGATTAGCCCAATGTGTACTGTAGACTATGGGACAGCCCT